GTACAATTAAGGTAACTGAGTTTCAATAGTCACAGCTGCATAAAGCAGCTTCCCGATCCTACCTAGGTCAGTGTGAACTAAGACTGCATTCACTGCTAGATTAGAAGTTGTGCTCTTTCATTTTTTTTCTTTTCTGACATGAAGAAATGAAAAATTGAATATAATGTGTTCCATTTTGGAAACCAGAGGCTCCTTTGAAATTCCATCCGGGATAGAAAGATCTCAATGCGACCATTAAAATCTGAATCTTAAAGATGATCGGATTAAACCCTTCAAGCAGTAGCTTTGGACAAAGCATTGCATTTAGCCAGCATGATAAAAATCCCTGAGTATTTTGGAAGAATTCCAAACTGGGGCTGTTATCATAACTGGTCTTCATAAAAAGATAGGCCTGTTTTTAGCTCTTGCTTCACAACAGCTGGAAAACCTGCTGAAGTTTGGGCACATTCTGCAATTCTTCAATCAGTTGGTGTGATTCTTACTTCTTTTAGTGGCACTCTCCAACACAAGTGGCCTGTGGCCCTTCAGTGCCATGCCATTCTTTCTCTGCTTGAGTATTATTCCACAGAAGGAAATTCTGCTCTTTCCCCTCCATACAAACACTGAAGAGCTGTTCAGCCTTCAGTGCTTCAGAAGTCAAAGCACTGTCATTCACAGTGTCCCCTGGATTTCTGTGCTGCTACAAAATTCTGCATTCCTCAACAACTCTACAGTAAATTATTTTCTTTTCTCTATAAATGCCATCAGTCTATGGAGCTCACCTTGCCAAGATGCACAACAGAAGCTTCACTGCATTGCTTTCTGTAAAGTAGCTGATTTTATAACAAGCGCTGCAGGAAGTGTACCAATAAACCTCTTTCCGATTTTCCCTCTTCCCATTTCTGCTTTGTGGTATTCATTTATGTGAGCCATGTATCCTTAGGAAGGGCAGCATGTAAAGACAAAGTAGCATTGATAAGGTATTAGTTACCGTGGTGTTGCCAGAGTACCCTGGGGCATCACATCTCGTAACAATTTTTTCTTTTCTAATATCTTTTACTTAAGGATCCTGGCACTATCGGCCAATATTAAATAATCCAGTTTTGTAACTCTCCTCTCCTGCAACAAGCTCAATTATCTATAACTCCTAGTTTAGCAAAGGGCAAAAGGAGCTTCAGACAGACATTCACAGCTGGGTAGCGTGAGAGCCAAAAATGAATTCCAAGTTTTCCAATCCTCTGCTGCCTGCTGCCCTGGTTCACAGACCCCATCCTGAGCTTTGACCTCTCTTCCCTGTCTCTCTCTTTAAAAAGCAGAAAATGCTTTCAGTGCAGTGATTTCCCATTTGAAGGCGTCACTCCCTTTAGATTAGCTCATGTGCTGCTTTAACAGGGAGGAAATACAATGTGCTTGTTCAAGGAAAGCCTTGGAATCAGGATATTTAGGCTGGTGCTTTAGCCTTATCTTTACCTTGATTTGTTTTTGTTTCTCCACCTGTAAAATGGAGCAGTGGTTACTGGTCCATGTCATAGAGTGTTACTAAGTCACTTGAATGTGTGAGAAATACCCTGAAAACTTCAGTGCAAATGGTTAATTTATTATTAAATCCATCATCCCACCAAATCCTCTCTTTGGAAGAGCTTTAGTCCAATGTTTTATTAATATAAAAGTAATTATATTGCTGCCTTATCAGTTATGCGAATGGAACATTTCTTATTCTTTCTTTCTTGCAGTGCGGATGGTCCTTCCTCTGAAATCATGCAGATTGACTTTGAAATTGAAGACCTAACTGACCTACCTGGGACCCAGCTCATCACATGGCAGGTAGAATATCCTGGAGATACAGCATCTGATCTAGGAATCTCCAAGATCTACGTAAGCCAGAAGGACCTGGTAGGAGTTCTCCCTTTGGCTATGGTAAGAAATTGTCTCACATTCTGCACGTTTTTAATATTGCTTTCCAACTGGAGTGTCTGACAGATGCAAATAGTCTGCTGACAGGGGAGGGAGGAACAGAATGTTTCCCCTTGGGAAACAGATGCTGAGTTCATCCAGCAGTGAAAAAGCATGAGGGGAGACCACAGCTTCCCATGGAAGGCCCAGTTGTGCTCTCTTTGACCAATATACTGACTTAGAGGCAGAAACTCAGTTCATGGCATTTCCAGTGTTTGGAACTCTCTCTTGTTGTTGCATGAAGTGATCTTCTTGGACGCTCAGTCCAATGTGGTGTATGCCTTACCTGAATCACAAGTACTCTTACATTTGGTCTAGTGTTTAAGGACTTCCTGAATCACAGCTTTTCCAGTTTTTTAATTCTGACTCCATATTCATTTGAGTGTGAGAAATAAAGTCACAGTGTGCAAACTACAGGGCTTGAAAAACACCTGATCCTTTAGCCTCGTTCTTACCTAAAAACCCTGTTGGATACTCAGATTCCAAGTACAAACAGAAATTTTCTTTTGGCTTCTCTCCCCTTCACATTTCTGCATCATTAGGGATGAAGTGTACTTGTCCAAGGTCTAGCTGTGCCCCGTTTTCGTTCTTAGACAATGTGTTAGAAAATATTGACACGTTATTATTTAACACTGAAAGAAAAAACAGAAATCAATCTCAGAGCATTTAAAAAAATGTAACCTGGATGTTTCCCTAGTGAGAGCCAGTTAATTATGCCATTATTGAAGGCTGAAGGTGTTCTCTGCACTTCAAGGCTCACAGAGCTGCCTATTACTGTTGTTTACCAACTTCAGAACTACTCAGCTGTAGTGATTCTTTATTTCCCCAAAAATATTTCTTTTCTAATGGTTCATGCTTTCATTACCAAGGTGTATATCACAGTTGAAATAGCTCTTTCCAACTGGTATGGTGGCCATCTAACAAATCTGAGTTGTGTGACTAATCCTTTTGTTTTGGATGACTGTTTTCGTGGGCTAATTACTGCTGTTGAACAGTGGGTCATCTCTGCTGGTTTGCTGATAAGAGAAGAGGCTTTCAGGTCTGCAGATGGGATCCTGATGCACAGTCACATGAGTTCTGGAGTATTGAGGGTTAAGGCTGTAGAAGTGATCTGATTTACATTCTGTGAAATGTACGGGGTTTATTTGTTCCATCCCTTAATGAGAGGATTACAGGTTTCTTTTCTAGTGATTCCAATGGTTGCAGAAAACACTAGTTCTTCTTAAAAATGTCCATGATTGTTTTAGTGGTATACCAAGTGGTGTAAGTGGCAAAAATTAGTTCATAAGAACAAAGAGAGATTCTCAGGCAGTTGCTACAAATCAACTCACTCTATTAATTTCCATTAAATATAAAAAAGAAGGCCATTTTCCAGAAGCTTCAAGTTCTATGCTCAAAGGTCACATGAAGTCTAGGAAGTTATCAGTAGATGGCATTTAGGAGACAACAGGTGTTGGGATAACGGGTAAGAGAGAAAGCAAAGATAAATGGCAGGGGTCCCCTAATTACTGACAGACTGGGAATAGTTTTAACCTTCTTTGCATTAACTGGAGTGTCAGGGAAGAAGCTCTGGGGTATCACAAATCTCCAGATCTTTGACTTACTTCATTTCGTGCTTAGGAAATGATGATTCAGGTGCAGACCTTTCAAGATGTCTAACTTAGATTAGTCTGGTTCTTCAGCTTTCCCTGTGGTCTTAGCAAAGGCAGTTTGTAATTGAAAAATTCAAATTAAAAAAGTAATTCTACTATTCCATTTAGGAAGAACCACAATGAAAACAAAGCGTTATATTATTTCTCTGGTTCTGGGGTTAATATGGGTCAGTTTTCCCAGGCTTCTTAGCAGAACATGTAATTTCACGTTTAGAAGCACCAAACAGAAATGATGTTGAATATTTCAATTACAGGTTAATTTTTCAAAAGAACAATTTTACTGCTTTAACTTTAGGCAGAGCTTTGATTTTTTAATAGACTAGCACATACCACCTCTGCACCATCCTTGTTTTCCGCAGTCTTCTCTACTAGCTGTTATGGATTTGTAAATTGCAAAGCAGAAGATTGGCCAATTTAGAGCTTCCTGTTTTCTTTTTTGGACTTACAAAACACTTCAGTGTAAAGATTTAAATGTATGTATTGGCATCAGGACACTCTGGAATTGCCTACCTTCTGCTGCAGTTGTTAGGGCACTTGCTGCACTTACTTTACCTTTCTCCAGTGCTCTTTTCTATTCTTGCTTTCCCCTGTGGCATATTAACATTCCAGCTTTTGAGCCCCCTGAAGGGCCCTACAGCAATAACGGCAACACAAGTCACAGTAGGGCACTCAAGGATATTGATGAGAAAGGCTATAGGGTGTGTTTGATGGCTGTGTGGGTACCATAAAGGCTGATACTCCTCATACTTCAATAACACCTTTTCTAATTGTAAAGTGTAACAGAACCTGTCTTGGTAAGCTGTACATGGGACCCCAGCCAGCCTTTGGTAGCAGAGGGGGAATAGCATGGGAGAAGGTATTTAATATAAGAGCATTGTAAGAACTGTGAGCTCCCATTTGGGTATTTGCAATGTATGATCCTTTCCCTTAAGCCTGATGAAATACAGGCAAAGATGTTTATCCAGGGTTATAAAAAATTATTAGCCTTTTACCATGATTGCTTTGCAGTGGCTTTTATAGCCACAACGCAGCATCTTGCCTTGTTGGCAGAAACTAAACCATCCACTAAACCCCATGGAAGAGGCAGATATTTGTATGGTAGAATGTTCTTCACCAGCACAGTTTCACACTGTAATTTGTGCATTTCTTGCATGGGCACTATTCAAAACCCTCCCCATTTCCCTGCCAGTTTTCTCACTGCAAAGTCGGTGTCTCCAGGTAGCGTGTGGCTGGAGAACTGGAGAAGAGGGTTCTTAAGAACATGTTGATTCGTACAGGGATTATAGAAACAAAGAGTGATTTATTCTAGATGGAGAACTCTGGACAAGGAATGTCAGATGATTACTTCATGGTAATTACTGAAAAATTGGTACTTCGGGGGCAGATCACAAGTAAATAGTGAAGAAGAAGCAGCCTTCTGCGTTGTTCTTTGTTGTCAACTAAAATGCATATTAATTCTCTTTAAACATCATGCTCTCAATATTCACCTTGAATAGGGTATCCTTTGAGACAGAAACCCAGCACCTCTTCAGTTCTGGCCTTTGAATATGATATTAAAAAGGCATATGGTCCACTTGTTCATTAGCTGTCTTGAACATGCAAAACTGAGGTTTTTTGAGTTGAGGACTTGCAATGTAGTGTGACAGTTGGTGAGAATAATATGCCTGAATCTTCTAGAATATGGCATTATTTTATATTAGCATCCTAAAGAATCAGCTTCCAATTCCTATTTGACTTCTTTCTGGTGTTTCTTCCCTATTTTATTTCACTCTCATTTTGTCAGGAGATGAATGGCAGAGTTTTAATCACTCAAATTGTACACTTGCTGCTATTGATTATTGTTGCTTTTCAAACATTCTGTCAGCTCTTTCATAATTACAGTGTTCACCTTTTGTTGAACCTTAATGATTAGGTGAGAATGAGATACAGACAAGCTCTGTAGCCAACTGTGCACGTACAAGATAATTCCTACTGAGAAAGGCAGAGGGCAGATACGACATGCTGGTAAATGGATAAGTTGAAATCTCTTCTGTAAATAATAATAGTAAAAATGGTGAACAATAAAATACCTGGTTGGTTCTGAACTGAACCAGTTCTGAATCTCTAAATCACCTATCTTGCCTCTGTGTGTGCCCTAAACCTATTCTATCTGTGCCCTCCCTTTATTTAATAATAATCTAATAAGGAATCAGGACAAAACACCTGTTTTGTAAATCTCATGGGGGAGATGTTGGTCCCAGTGTTGATAAATCCATTATTAGAGTAGTCCTTTGACTAGAAAATACACTGTGTTAACTTTACTTTCTCCTAGAATACAGAAAAAAGTATCTGCAGGATACTTAGTGTCCCTTCAGAAATCTTTTAAAAAGGTTGTAGGTTTTAAATTATAATTAAAGGTTGTGTTTTAAATTTGTAAATCAGCAGGCTAATACTGGAGTCAGCCTGGCTCACACAAATGGAGTCACCCTGATATTCAAGCCATTATGAGGTTTAAAGATATCAATGTGGACCAGATGTTTCAGATAGCAGCAGGGCATATGAAGCTGATGCAGAAGCCCAGCAGTTGGATGATGAGCACCCTTGTGTATGAAAAGCCTGTGAATCTGGATTGCCTTCTTGAGAGACTCCCAACCCTTTTAGATGAACTGATTTTAATATAATAGACTGCCTGGTACAATCTGTGCAACTAGGAAACAGAAAAGTTTTGCCTTCAGATTAAGAATCCTTGAATACAGCAGAGTCATGGTAACAGTGGCTGAGAAGTTCAGGATTACCTCATACTAACCATGGTATTGATATTTTGAGGTTGGTAATTGAGCTCTCTTGCTGCCCAGAGAATCTCAAACTTGCTGGCAGGCAGGACTAGTCAGCAGGCAGGACTAGGGCTGAATTAGCAGGTCTCAGCTTGCCAGGGCTCAAGCAGGACAGGCTCCCCACAGTATTTATGAAACTAAGCTCCAGTCTGGGCCTCGCTGAGTTTTATGCCCATATACCTATGGAGAGCCTGTCTTTCCATCTTACTGAATGCATTGGGACAGCCCTTAGGTATGTTTGTAATCAAATAACCTTATCATTGGAGAACAGAAGTGAGCAGGAAGAAAAGATGGGATTTGAAACTTGATTAATGGTACAGTGGTGAAGTTTCGGTCTGCTTTGCAGAGGCAACAACTCCAAAGGCAACCTTCCATTGCTCCCAGCCATGTTTTAGCAGGCAAAGGTGGGTGGTGAACAGTGAATTACAGTGAATTACAGACTTGTATCAGCAACTGAGCTGCCATTATCTCTCTGGTTTTGGTCCATTATTTATCATCC